TAGATTTTTTTTATACCACTGAGGTGGCAATCAAGCATACGGCCCACCTGACGGTAAGAGGTTACCGTAGCCTATAAACGCCTGCAATAGCAGGTGTATTACGCGCGCGTTGCCGACCCTGAAGAAACCTCTTAGGAAAACCTCGGCAGGGAGGTTATTCCATAACCTGAGTGTTCGTGGCAGAAAGCATCTCCGAAACCGCGTTGTACGCGACCATTTAGGCTGTAAGGTATGAGGGTGAACTTCCTGTCGATGGCGAGCTGTACGATGATAGAAAGTAGATTTTGTAAGGTACTTTTAATTTATGGAATCTAATGTTTTATTTTATTTATTTATTCATAGGAAAACCAGGGCTACACTACAGCAAATAGATACAGTTTTAGGATAACAAAATAAGCCACTAATAGGTTTTCACAAATAGCAACAATATAGATACAAGGCGCTTTACACAAAGCTACAAAAATACAAGTTAACAAAAAAAAAAAGTGAACAAACAAGAGAGAACATATAAAAACAAATAATGATAATAACATACATACATACATATCTGTCACGCCTGTCTTCCATTAGGGTAGGCAGAAACAATGGAACGCCAAATGCTTCGATTCAAACAAACCTCTTTCGCTTCTTCCACATTCATCAATCTTGTCATACACGCTCGTCGGTTACGGGTACTTTTAATTTGGCCCTTCTTCAGCACAAAATAGAGTAGAATTATGCCTTCTAGACTTAATTGGTACATGTAGTTTTAATTTTTGTAGTAGTTCAGGGCAATCAACCTCAGCGGAAGCTATCCTCATCAGATGTGCAATGTAATAATGATAATAATAAATTATAAAAACAAACAATAATAATGATAAGTAAAATACAAATTAAAGATTAAATGTAAATATTTGACCAAAATATGGCATATTAAAACAGACTATGAATAAAAAAATTGCTTACTCAGTTGGTTTCTCACTGATATTATATTTTTTTGAAAATAGATCGATATTAAAAGTTCTAGAAAGAGTATTAAAGTTGTTGCTAGCTCGCCAAAGGAACGAATTTTGTCTATAATTCGATGACACTAGTGGGACAAATAGAGTAGAATTATGCCTTCTAGACTTAATTGGTACATGTAGTTTTAATTTTTGTAGTAGTTCAGGGCAATCAACCTCAGCGGAAGCTATCCTCATCAGATGTGCAATGTCAGCGATATTTCTGCGCTTTTCGAGTGGGAGAAAGTGGTGTTTTTTACAGAATTCAAGATAGTCAGAAGAATCATATCTATCATGTAGTCTATAAGCCAAGAAACGAATAAACTTGTTATTTTTATTATTACATATTCATAAGAACTAAAATCTTCTATAAATCTATTTTAATTATTAAACTGTTTTGTCACTTTCTTTCAAATTGAAAATTTAGTGTAAAAGAAAGAGACAAACATAGCTTTCTCATAAAGATTTGAAGTATTTACGATTAAGGAGGTTAGATTATACCGATAGTGTTTCTATACAAATGCTTCGCCAAAAATAGGTCAACTTTTTTTTTCATGTTTGCGTGAATAGGGTTACCATAATCTACATTTATTGCTCAGTATATGGGAGAAATTATATTATAAGATTAAGTTGAAAAATAAAAACGATATAAAACTATTATGAATATATTTAAAAGAACAATATAAATAATGCATAAATGATGATTCGTAAAAATTTTAAAATTAATAAAAATGAGCGCCATTTTAGTAATTTAAAAACGATGATATTCTTTTCGAATTTCAAAATAGTAGTTTGAACGACAACCGAACATGTGATCAGGTCGTAGATAATTCAGCAAATGATGCGATACAAGGAAATGACGCGGTAACTTTGTAAGGATCGTAAATTTGTTTCTTATGTTTCATTTCTTGGCCCTTTCCGTCGTGTCCCATAGAGTTTTATTCACTTCGTAAACTTCACTAAATGAAGCCCTCGCATATAAAATAAACGCTTACTCAATTACGTTGAGTTGTATTTTTTTTTATTTTTTTTTATCACTATGTATTAGGTAAGGAATGTTTCACATGTTAAAATGAGTTTCATATACTACGCCAAATCATACGTCACTCCAGCTATGTTACATCACTAAGAATGCTACAAATCACTTTAAAATGAATTAGCCGCTGTGATCGGCTTTATTCGTAAGTCATTGGCTGTATTTTTTTTTAATTGGTGTAAATGGTATGGTAACCCCGCCTGCGCTTACGGGATACGCTGGCGGAGCACCAGTGAAGGGTAATCGATGAGAATGAAAACAGGCCAGTTAGCCCCTCATGATGAATTAATCAGGAATTAACCATGCTAGTATCCAGGGGGAACCGCGAGGAGGTCGACCTGGTTGGGTATATTGCTAGCAACGGGATTCTCAGTCTCTATTACTAAGAATCCCTTTCCCCCCTATCGGCTGTATTTGGTTAGCAGCGAAATTAAATCGCATCTGAGCAGTGAGCGAATAGAGACTTTATAATAATGCGTTAAAGTGTGTATTAGCTCGCTCTTATCACATCAATCCATATTTCACTTTCAATAGCAAATATTAAAAAATCACTTATTGTAATTTATCACATGTGATATCACTCTTAATAAAAATAACAATTTTATTAAATAACATTAAATTGAACTGTGTCATGTAATGTACGAATGTCGTGTTTATGTTCTTCGAGGACTTTGACGTAAACGACTTAGTTCGTAGTTAAGAGTTATCCAAAATCCGTAGACACAAAGTCATATTGAGAATATTGGTGTTCTAATGGTTTAATATCCACTACCTCCACCATCTACGATATGAGGAAAAGTAAAAGAGAAAAGAATGGGGGTTTCTAGGGAGTGACTAAAAGGTATACTATAAAGTTACTGATATATGATATGAATTATATACAATAGTACATTACTGCAGTGGCCAACAACTGAGGCATTAATGGACGAACGTGCAAATGTGGGCCGAGGCGTAGCCGAGGCACACATACATGAGTCCATCAATGCCTAGTTGTGATCAGGGCTTGTATAGTACTTTTCTCAAACAATGCGCGGAAATCAAAAACACAATTTTACTTTTTAAGTTCAATAATGAGTAACGAACAATAATAATTTTTCACGCGCCATAATGTTCCTTTGTTTTTTTTTCAATAAACAGCTTTCTATTTGCAAGCCAGTTCGAAATTTAAATAAAACCTTTTATTAGTTACCTCCTTGGTAGCCATGTTTCGAAGTAAAAGGTCATTCCATTTTTAAATTACAGGACAGATATGAGTTTACATAGTAATTTATCTGGCCGCAAAACACGACAGATATGGATTTTCATACAACTTTTGCTGGCCGCTACCCGCATGTATCTGACTAGTACGGCAATTTTGATTTATCTCTAAGAAGATTGTCAAAATAATGCTTACATTTCCAAGCATGTTTGAGAAAAAGTATATTGATTTAAGTGCTTCACGTATATTATATATTTATACGGTAGAATGATCAGCGATTTTCACGCGGTACCAATTCAGTGCGAATGTCTATACCAATTACTAATAGTGAATTATCCTAGACTAGATGAATATTTAATAATATTGAAATGGATCAGGAAAATGGAAGTCCTTAATTGTAAACAAAATATTAATGGGATTCTCGCTTCTTTTATTGTATAGGTATAATTATTAACTAATAATATAAATTAAAGCTTCAAATTACTCAGAGGGCTATGAAGAGGGTTTTTCTTTATAATGCTTGATAATGTAATAGTAACCCCGCCTGCGCTATCGGTATACGCTGGCGGGCCACCAGTAAGGGATGATAGATGTGCATGAAAGCAGGTTAGTTAGCCCATCGTAACGAATTCTACTAGAATTAATCATGATGGTTTCCGTCTGATAGCGTGTATTACTAGCAATGGGTCATTTAGGCCCTATTACTAACAAGCCCTTCCCCCCATATGGAGAGGGTAATGCTCGGAGTCCCTTTGCGTGATAGAATTCGAAATGAAGATATCTGCAAAAGAACCAAAATAATCGACATAGCTCGAAGGATAAGTAAGCTGAAGTGGCAATGGGCTGGTCACATAGTTGCGACCGATAATAGACCGATAAGAACCGACAACCGATGGGGAAAAAAAAGGTTCTTGACTGGCAACCGTATACGGGTAAACGCAGTGTAGGACGCCCCTCACTAGATGGAGTGACGACTTGAAATACATTGCAGGGAGTTAGTGGATACAGGTGGCTCAGGAGCGTTCTTTATGGCAGTCTATGGGGGAGGCTTATGTCCAGCAGTGGACGGGTAATGGCTGAAATGATGACGATGAATATAAATTAATTATAAATTGCCGTGTGGTCCCGGTATAAAATAGGTTACCGCTTCTTTTCTCGTGATTGTCGTAAGAGGCGACTAAGGAGGATGAGGGATGGGCAGCAACGTCGTTCTTAAAACATCTCTAAAGTCTAACAGAGGTTGTCAATCCGCCTGCCAAACGTGGCAACAACTGGTAAACCCCCTAATGAGGAGACTTATGTTCAGCAATGGATAGTTAAAGGCTGATATGATAATGACGATGACCCATACTTTACAGTCATTGCGATGATAAATTAATTTTAATTAATTACAATTTATACACTATTATATGACATAAACTATTATTATATTATTAAATTATACATTAATTAATAAAATAGCAATTTAAATAATTTTATCATAAACATATTTCTACAGCTTTTTATTTGTAGAAAAGTGTATTCCAAATATACTACATTTACGGGTCCGTGGCCATGTGTGTGTGCAGTGCAGTGTGTGTGTGTGTGTGTTTTGTATAAAAGGTTATATTTGTGTATGTTATATCACTAAAATCGTTCATAGTCGTAGAATACTGACGGATAAATATATGTATTTTTTGTCAGATCCGTCAGTATTCTACGACTATGACGAAATACATCTAAACACGACTCATCATCGGATTTTGTATATAAATCCTATTTTCTAACCGACAATTGTTTGTTACAGATAACGCCGCACACCAGTTTTTGCAGGGTGAGTGTTTGTTTTGCACTGGCTTATGTATTTCGATATGTTTTTGTAGGGTCGCATCGTGTCGCTGTATTGGTAGCGTATTGCATAATTCATCCGACAAATCCGATTAGACAAGTGATTAAGTAAACAAATAAATATTTATTTCACTCATTGTAACAATATAGTGTGAAGACCCTAACTCTAGAGGTAGGTATCAAAAACCTGTGTTTTAGAAGTTAGTGCCCTCTTCCGTATGTTTTTAATAATTGTGTATTTTTTAAGGATGAATATGGAATGATAATCCCGCCTGCACTATTGGGTTTTAATGTGGCTGTACTAGTAAGGGATGATAGGTGGGGATGAAGACAGGACATTCGATGCATCGTGGTGAAGTTGCTAGGAACTAAATACGATGTTTTTCAGGGGATCTTGGTGGACATGACATGGACAGATATATTATTGGTAATGGGGTTGAAGTCTCCAATATTAGAGGGAAACTTTGTATAAAAGTCGTTCGCTTGGGCACTTCTGTCCCATTCGTGTTTCTATCGTGATGCAGTTGTATTTCCATGGCTGTGTTTCGGTTTGAAGGGCGTGGCAATATGGCAGTGAATTTACAGGGTACAGAGGAATAACGCCCGAGATCTCAGGAATGGCATCGCAATGAGGGGTATCATGGGCGGAACAGTGTACTCTGTATGTCCATGATACTGCTCATGTCTATAGGTGACGGTTACCACTTTCCATCAGGTAGGCCGTCAGCTTGTTTGCCATTCTAGGTTACATAAAAAATTCTAACAATCCCTTCTTCCATTTTATGATGCTACCCTTGTTATGGGGTCACAAAGTTGGAATTGTATCTATATATTACTTAATTAAATAAGAGAGAGGGGAAAATGGAATGGAAAGCCTGCCTGCGCTATTGGTATATGCTGGTGAGAGATGATAGGTGAGGATAAAAGCAACTCCTGTCGATCTGAACTCATTTTCACCTTACACCCCTAAAAATAATCACAAGGTCATTATTGTAAATTATCCATTGCAAATGATCAGATACACCGTGTATTACTTCATCATCATCAACATCAGCCTTTAACTGTTCACTATTGAATATAGCCTTCCCCCTCTTGGAGTGTTTTGCCAGTAATTGTCACGTTTAGCAAATAGGTTGACAACCTCAGAGAGACTTTGGTGATGTTTTAAGAGGAACGCTGTTGTTCATCCCTCGATCATTAGGTTCCTTTAGTCGCCTCTTTCCACACCTATTGGAAGAAAAAAGGTGGTCCATTCTATGCCAGGATAATACGGCGAAGTTTATTTATTTATTAAGTACAAGGTATATGTAACATACATTGATCCCGCACTAGGCGAACTTGTATCGTGGGAGTCCATAAAGGGATAACCAGGACACAATTTACGTTCCATCAGATGGGTTGTTAGCTTGTTTGTCATTTTAATATGCATGTAGATAGATAGATACTCTTTATTGTTTCCTCCAAAAGATTACAATAGTAAACTTATTATAAATATAAACAATTACAAGAAATAATCACAATGAGGAAACAATGGGCGACCTTACCGCTAAAAGCGATCTCTTCCAGGCAACCTTTGGATGGAAAGGAGTGATTATAAACTGTTTGATTGGAGGCACGATGAATGTATGTAATATCTATTTAAAATAGTTATATAGTATATAGCAGTGTAGGACGACCCTCTACTAGATGGAGTGACGACCTGAAATGCATTGCAAGGAGTCAGTGGATGCAGGTGGCTTGGGACCGTTCCTTACGGCAGTCTATGGGGAAAACTTATGTCTAGCAGTGGACGGAAAATGGCTGAAATGATATGATAATGAGTCAATTTCACAGAACCAAATAACACATTCGTGTTTCTACCGTGAAGTAGTTGTGTTTGCATGGCTGTGTTTCGGTTTGAAGGGTGGGATATGGCGTGACTTTACAGGGTACAGAGGAATAACACCTGAGTTGTCAGGAATGGCAACGCATGGGGGGTATCATGGGCGAAACAGTATACTCTGTTATGTCCATGGTACTGCTCATGTCTATAGGCGACGGTTACTACTTTACATCATGTGGGCCGTCAGCTTGTTTGTCATTCTAAGTTGTATACAAAAAAAAAGAGACATCGTTAATACAAAAATGACGAATAAGGAACCTTCACCTTCTAGAAGTCGCTCAAATACATTATCTTTATTTCTTGCGCAGCTGGTTAAAAAATTAAGTGCTTTAATACTGGCAGCTTATAAAATACCTGTGAAGTTTGAAACGAAATTAATTGTTTTTCGAACACAATTAAATATTTCATTTATTGTTAATCCATTACTTAAGATTCGGAGTTGTAGTGAATAAGTAATTGGGAATTTCAAAAGCGAAGTATGGAACGAAAATTTTTTGTTTTCTTTTATACTTAATCGTATTATAAGTAACTTTAAAAAGTAAAGTTTTGTTGTAAAGGGAGGCCTTTTATACAAAAAATCTTTTTTTTTCTAATAAAAATGGAAATTTTCAATTGGTCTTTCTGTGAGTATGTTATGTAATGTATAAACAAAGTAAAAATATATTTTTTAATACATTTAGAATAGCAAACAAAATGACCGCCCACTTGAAGGCGACTGATAAGAGTCGCCTATAGACATACGTGATATTTTTCCAATTATGAATCGATTTTGATAGGCAATTTATTTTTGGGTCATATGAGGTTTACCCTTGGGTAAACCCCATCTGACCCAAAAACAATTGTTATCCAAATATTATTTTTATCCCGATTAAAGTCGCATTTTTTCGAAATCGATAGACATGTTAAATTATGTTATAGGTTTTTATTGTTTTTTTTTTATTATTTTGTTTATGATACCAGTACGTAAATTTCTAAACAAGCTAAATACAAAATTCCTAAATCGAGAACTCCAATTTAGTCTTTTTATTATACAACTTAGAATGGCAAACAAGCTGACGGCCCACCTGATGGAAAGTGGTAATCGTCGCCTATAGACATGAGCAGTACCATGGACATAACAGAGTACACTGTTTCGCCCATGATACCACCCATGTATTGCCATTCCTGAGGACTCAGGTGTTATTCCTCTGTACCCAATAAATTCACGCCATATCCCACCCTTCAAACTGAAACACAGCCATGCAAACATAACTGATTTACGGTTAAAATACGAATGGGACAGAGGTACCCAAGCAAACGACTTTTGTACAAAGTCTCCCTCTGGTAAAACCTCTGGTAACTGTCCAAAGTTGAACATAAGCTTTCCCCATAAGGGAAGTTTTGCCCGTAGTTGCCACGCTTGGTTGGCGGGTTGGCAACTGCATTTAGAGGTTTTTGATGAATGATTTAGAACATATTTTAAGAGGGACGCTAATGCCAATCCCTCCACCATAAGTTTCCTTAGTCGCCTCTTACGACACCCACGGGAAAGGAAAGCGGTGGCCCATTTTATACCGGGACCTACACAATCTTATATATATATATATATTTTTTTATATTTTATATATAAATTAGTTAAGCTGTACACATAATATAACATTCCTTTTTCGATTTTCGAAAAAGGAATGTTGCGTTGGTTTGGTCATTTGGAGAGGATGGATGAAAGAAGAATTACGAAAGAGATTTATCGAGCAAGAATGAATGGAGATGTCGGTAGGGGCCGCCCTAGACGGACGTATGTTGACCAAATAGGCGACGTGCTGAAGAAGAGCCAAATTAAAAGTACCCGTAACCGGCGAGCGTGTATGAAAAGATTGATGAATGTGCAAGAAGCGAAAGAGATTTGTTTGAATCGAAGCATTTGACGTTCCATTGTTTCTGCCTACCGTAATGGGAGACAGGCGTGACAGGTATGTATGTATGAGTTCGAATACCGACAAATCTCGACTTACCTATCACTATCCCAATTCTATTTTTATTTTGGCAACTAATAGTGAATCTAATATTACCTTGCATATTTCCAATACCAATACAAAGCGGATGGAAAATTAAAACCACTGTTAAGCCTTCTCTTTCCTCGTGTTTAGCTTTCAATAGCCGATAGACGGACTCGATGAATAGCTCTGACAATACTGGACTTCTAATGTGCTGGGCTGAATAGGAAGTGAAATTAATATTAGAAAGCCCACTGAGTTGTATTGATTAGAGAAGACGTGTGAATGTTCAGATGATATAATAAAATCGATTGAATTAATTAGGTATTGTAATTTTATGTTAATTATTGCACATATTACTATCGATTAAAATAATTCAACTTTTTATTTCAAATGCCTAATTAAAAGATTATATGGTGACATATTTTTATGATACGTAAAAGGGGAACAAGGTGACGGCCCGTCTGATGGAAAGCGGTAACCGTGATCTATAAACACGATAACAGAAATACGAATAACTTTTATTCGGTATTTTACATAATTTAAAACAGAACAAAACATTTATTAACTATTTAATATTACAGTTACTCAGTTAAAGAAAAGCGCCTTGGAAATTACGTTTATTAGAATGCAGTATTAAATTTTCAAATTATTAAGATTCTTAAATATGTAATACGTAGAGAAAGAGAGAGTGGAATGACAGAGGCCATATCTTGTTTCGTGTATATATACCGATTTGAGAGATTATTCTATTATAATTCGAGATCCAAATAAAGCTACTTTCAATATGGCGTTTCCAAATATAATGACTAACGTTTTTCGAAATTTCACAGAAAAAAATGATAAATGAAGTCTTATTTTTTTATCTCACGGTATTCTGTCACCTTATATAAAAATGCCGTGACATGATGTTTGTACCTGCTAATCTCCGAATGTTGTATATTATTTATACTAAACTAAGACATAAGATAGCTTTTATCTTGATAGGAAAACGTGGATTTGGTAGGTAAAATAACGTTTGCCGATTCTAAAATATTTCAAAATTAAAAACAATCTATAACCAATTCTCATCATAATGATGTTATCATCATCATTATCATCATCAATCATTATGTTTAATTTTTATTAAAA